TTCTTTTTCCCAAGCTTCTTTAACTTTTTGTTTCTCTTTTCTCATATTTTCCAGCTCTCTGCTGACAGTCTTCTTTTCCTCTTTTTCTGCCTGAATTTTTTTGTCCAAAATTTCAAGCTGCTTAATTAAACTCTCTCTGTGATTTATTTCTTCAGTTTCTCTTTTTCTCTTTTCATTTTCTCTCTCTTCCTGCTCCTTTTCTCTCTGTTTTTGCTCTTTATCTATATTTTCTTTCATTTGCTTTAGTTTTTGTTCTGCTTCCTGTTTTAGTTTTTCTTTCTGTTCTTCCATTGTTCTTTTCATTTCCTGCATTTCTTCATCATATTTCCTCTTAAGTTCCTCCTTCTCTCTCCTCATCTCTTCTTCCTTCTCCTTCAGGATTTTCTCTGTTTTTTTCAGAATGGCAGCTTCAGCCTCCTGCAGCATCTCATTGGTGTAGAATCTGTTGTTATTTTCTTTCACCATCGTGTCAATCTTCCTGATCAGCTCACTGACTTGTTTTTGATTATTTTTATCATAGTTGCTAAATACATGGCATCTTCCTCCACAATCAGAGATCAGCTTCTTCAAGTAATCATTTTCTCCAATACAATCTTCAATTGTCTGCTCCTCATGTTCCAGTTTATCTCCATGTGTGAAAAGAATGATGGTGAATTTTTCTGCACCTTTCCCAAATCCTTTCTTTATTAACTCCAATGTCTCCTTCTCCTCTGGTGTAATTCTACCGATCTGTAAAACCAGCAGGAAGACATGTGGACCTGGAGCCAAAAGACTCATACATTTCAACATCTCATCATAAACTTCTTCATGGGACAAACTGTCATCAAACAGACCAGGAGTATCGACCACAGCAACAGGACGGCCGTCCACCACACGCTGCTCTTTCTGACAAAGCTTTGTGACTGATTTGAAGTCTGCTTTAGCTTTAAAGACTTTACGTCCCAGAATTGTGTTTGCAGAAGAGCTTTTTCCAGAACCAGTTTTACCGATTAGAACAATCCTCAGACACGCAGAGCTCTGATCCATTTCAGGACCTGTAATTAAATTATAAAATTTTGTGTTATTATAGAGTTGCTTCACAAGTCTGAAATATGGTGTTTTCCAACAACAACTTACCCTCATGCTTTTTGAGTTTCTTCATTTCAGTCTGTAGTCTGGTGATGCTTTCATCTTGTTTGAAAATTTTCTCTATTTGGCTGCTCAAAAATGACTTTGATGTGTAAAAGTTTGGGCTCTTCTTGATGATTATCTCTCTTTCTACCATCTCTACCAATTCTGGGTTCTTCCTTCTGTTGTTGATATTAAGAACAAAATATCTTCTTCCAAAGCACAAAAGCTCCTGGATGTCCTTGCTCTCATTAATAAAGTTAATCACAGCTGGCGCTGTAGGATCTGACTCCGTAGTGAACAGGATGATGGTGAAATCATTGACTCTAGAGCTGAATGTGTCCTGGATGGCCTGTAACTCTCCTTTGTCTTCATCAGTGAGGGGACCCACAGGTAGGACCAGGATGAAGGCGTGGACACCCTCAGGTTCACAGAGGGAGATACACCTGAACGATTCCTCCATCACTTCCTGCTTAGCTTTTCCACACAAGGCAGGCAGCTCCACCACAGAAACCCAACGTCCATGAATCTCTCCCTGGTTTCTAACACACTCTGAGGAGCTGGCCTTTGGTCCAAATCTTTCTTTTCCTAAGATGGCATCAACAACTGAAGTCTTGCCTGCTCCTCTTCTACCAAAAAGAACCAGGTTCAATGAAGGTGTGGGTCTGTTCAACAAAGGCATGAAATCATCCTCATAACTCAGCGTTAGATATTCTCCCCTATTGTCACAAACAAGCTTTTCTATTTCTTCTGTCATGTTCTTCCGGTCATCTGATGAGATTTCATTTCTTTCAAGATTGACTCTGACTTTCCTTTGCTTGCAGTCATTGATCAGTCTTTCCACTGCTTTATCATCAGGATTCTCATCATGTGTCAGGATAACCATTGAATGTTTGAAGGCATCTGGTAGAAACAAACTCAGGATGAACTTCAGTGTTTTTCTGTCCTCTTCAGTAAATTCTGAAGGCTTCACCAACAGCAGCAGAACATTTGGTCCAGGAGAACAGAACTCCACACATTTCTGGATCTCTTTTCTCAGACTTTCCACAGATAAACTGGATAAGTCTGGAGTCCTCACTACTGTTACTGGTTTACTGTTCCATGAACCTTTGACAACATCACAGTGTTTGGAAGAACTGAATATGGAATAACTGATTCTGGAAGTGGTAAAGTCCCTTTTTCCTGTTAAGATGTTTCCCAAAGTTGTTTTCTTGTCTTCACTCTTTCCAAACATCACTATTCGGAGCTGATGTGCTGAAATAAATACAAATACAATATTAATTTCTTATATCTCATTTATCTGTTTCCACTAGATGTATAAATGTTTTAATTGACAACACAAATAAGTCAAAGTCTACATAAAGCCAACTTACCATCTCCTCTATGCTGACTTTGCGCAGCTGCTGTTGGATCTTTGAGAACTCCTCTGGTGACATGTTCTTCTCTAGAGTTCTTCACCATTTCTTCAATAACCATTAACAGTTGTTTTTGTTCATAATTATATCCCATTAACATTTTCTGTCTACATCTCTTAATTAATTCTTTCAGCTGTTGATTTTGCATATATTCTTCCATGGAACAAGAACTCTTTGTTTCATTGGATACTATCAGAGCACATGAGTGGTTAAATGCTTGATCACTAAAATCTTCAAGAAATGTAGACAGATTCAGTTTGTCTTTCTCTGTGAAGTTTTCAGGCTGTAGAACCAGCAGGAACAAATGAGGCCCAGGAACAGAGAGTTTCTCACATTGATCCAAATGTTTTCTTAAGTCTTCTTCAGAAGATTCAAGGCACAGATTTGGTGTGCTTATTAGAACAAATAGTTTGTTTTTGATCGTTCCTGTGACTTTCAGACAGCTTTCTGGTTCTCTGTTCTTCTCAAACCTGTTCTCTCCCAATAACACGTTTCCCACTGAGCTTCTTTCAAACCAGTCGTTTCCCAGCAGAACGATCCTCACTTCTGACACTGGAGAGAAACATTGAAATTATTTTTAGGTATAAACATAATTCTTAAATTATATCAGTCTAAGCCTTAAGAGGACGATAAACTGGATATATCCTCCATTATTATAATTTCATGAAAAAGAATTCAGATATTAAAGAATTAAAACAGGTAAACTTCATACAGTCATTGGGTAACAAAAAGTAAATAGTTCTTAATAAACTCTTTAACATATCTAACACCAAGCTTAATATTATTTAATAAAAACTGCAAAAATAAACATCATTTCAAAATATAAGTAACATTCTTAGGTAATTAAAAAAAATACTATGAGGAAGAAATTCTAAGTTGTGTCTGAAGAAAAACTACTTTTTATAATTTTTATACTGTACTCCACATGAAACAAACATTACACAAAGCATGTTCTTTAATGGAACATTTTAATACTTGTTTGGATTTCTGATGACGATAGAAAAAAAGAAAAAGTATGTATCATTTACTCTTCCAGTTTTGCTTGGTCCATCTCATGTATATTTTTTAAGATTAATAAACTTATGTACATATCCCAGTGCCAGTCAGTAGTGACACAAAACTTTTAGGTCTTTCCTAAAAATGTTTTTTTTGTTTATCGCACATATGACACAAATAATCGTCTCAGACCCGCTATTCATCACACAGGTCCACTTTGTTTGGGCAGAGAAAACTGTTTCAGGCTAAATAAACTGGACTGGGAAGTGTTGGCCTCATGGTTAGAGCAGCATGCTTGTGCTCTGAGAAGGTTGCAAGTATAATCCCCACAGTGTTTATAATCCCCACAGTGTTTACAATTAGTGTTTATAATCCCCAGTGTTTATAATTAGTGTTTATAATCCCCACAGTGTTTATAACTTGTGTTTATAATTAGTGTTTATAATCCCCACAGTGTTTATAATTAGTGTTNAGTGTTTATAATCCCCACAGTGTTTATAATTAGTGTTTATAATCCCCACAGTGTTTATAACTAGTGTTTGTAAGTGTTTCTCCATTGTGGTATCAATGAAGAGCAATTTCTATCATTTTCCGTTTACCATCAATGTAAACGTTGTTTCTTTTACAAAGGTTCTTTACTTTACCTTCTGAACTAAAATAATTATATTTTAAGACCAAAGGAAAGAATATAAAAGGAAGAACACAGCTCCAGTTAATCCAGCTAGAAAGTAGGCTCTAAATTTGGGTGTAGTGATGGACTCTAACCTGAGCCTACAGTGGATCATAAAGACCTTCTATCACCATCTCCAGGATTAAGGACTAATGGCTCAGCAGCAGGTTGAAAACAAACTCATATTAACAGCAGGTGAAATAAGTATTGACCACACCACCATTTTTCTTAGTAAATATATTTCTAGAGGTGCTACTGACATGGCATTTTAACCAGATGTTGGTAACAATCCATGCAATCCACACATACTAAGAAAACAAATCACAGATGTCCAGAAATTAAAGGTTTAGTGCAGAGGTCACAGATTAGCGGGGTGCAGTCCGGATCTGGACCCAACTGCTGGCTAAGCTGGACCCAACCTGATTTAAAACATTTATAAATTACTGCATGTTGTCCGACCACAGTGTCTAACTTCACTTGCGCCGCTTCTTCTGTTAATACGGTAAAGCCCTCTGGAGCGTCCGGCTCCAGGTTGCACGTGATCCAAATGAGCTGCTGTCAGTCTGGGTTGCTGCTGCTGCTACTTTTAGACACAGCAGGCAAACCTGTGGCAAGCCGGGCGATGGGAAAGAAGGAGAAGAC